TTTAATTTCATATCTGTCCATATTGAGAAACCATGAGTTTACACTGGTACTTCCAGTTCCAGATCCAGCATTATGTTTCCTTCTAGTGTTTGAACATTCTCACCTTTTATATTTGCAACTCCCTTATCCAATACTGAGAAACCTGGCTTCTGTTATCCTTAATAGACTTACATAATTGATCAGTCCCCCTGCATGTAACAAGTTATCTGTGTGGCTACCTCCCCCACCTTGAAAATGCCCCCTCACTCCACTTGAGTTCTGACTGCCTGTTTCAGGGAGACCTTCCACGTTGACCCCTCCTCACCTCAGTCCACTTTCTGACACCCCACACACAGCATGCCCCACCCCACGCAGATGCCCGTCTCAATCTTTCTGGGTTTCAACAGTCTGCCCAGACTGCATTTCTCACCCTATCTGGACTCTACTCCCCCGCTCCCTCAGGGAGACCCTCCTCATCTTGGGTGGTCTCTATCACCTTCCACCTGGCCCCCTTTCCACACAGGTGCAATGAGATGGACCAGTTTATTCCTCTGGCAACAAAGGTATTTCACTTAATGTTGTGCTTACTGCATAATTCAAGGCACCTAAGATGGGTAATATGCAGGGAGGCCTCAGGACTTTTTCTGCTCCCAATATGCTCTAGACAAATCTTCCCAGAGCACAGGGTGGTGTTTGTGACAAATGAACATGTACTTGACTTGCCTGGCTCTTAATCACTTTCTTTTCCTTCCTTCCTAGCACAACACTGCACCGTCCCCCTCCCAACTGCCAGTATTTGAAAATATTGTAACTCAAAAATGCATTTAATACACCTAACCTACCAAACAACATAGCTTAGCCTGGCCTACCTTAAAAGTGCTCAGAACACTTACGTTAGTCTATAGTTGGGCAAAGTCTTCTAACACAAAGCTTGTTTTATAACGAAGTGTTGACTGTCTCATGTAATTTAATGAACACAGCACACTGTACAGTCTCGGTTGTTTACCTTCCTGATCACAGGGCTGACTGGGAGCTGTGGCTGCTGCCACCCAGCATCACAAGATAGCGTTGTACCATGTATCACTAGCCCAGGATAAAATAAAAACTCAAAATTCGAATACGGTTTCTATGCTATGCATATCATTTCACACCATTATTAAGTAAAAAAAATCGTAAGTGGGGATAGTCTGTGTTTGTTAGCTGTGCCTCCTCTCAGCAAATCATCTAAACTCCCTAACAATGTTTTTGTTTTGTTTTGTTTATCCACTGTTAAATGTAGGTAAATCATTCTACCTCATAGTGTTCTTCAAAAATTAATTGAAATAATGCATTTAAGTATATGACCCAGAACAAATGAGCAATAAATAAAGGGATTTTCTATAAGTTCACATAGGAATAGAATTTAAAGCATCTGAGTTCACCAGGAAATGTGCACCTGCATCTGCAAAAGGCACCTCATACGTTTGGCAGTGGCTGTCCTGGTGACTCTCCATGTTCAGCCCACCCTCCATCCAAATGCCCTCCATGGCCTCCTGACCTGTGCTGGGCTCCAGAAGCCTGGTGTCTACGGAGGGCGTTACCAGGGTTTCCACTGAGTTTGCCAGTCAGAGGCACCAGCAACAGACTGAAGGGTGGCCAAGAGAGGGTGCAGAGATTCTGGGCTTCACCCTCTTATCTCCCAAGCTCTGGCCTTGGCCGAGCCCTCCCTTTGGGCAGCCTCTCCCCTTGGCTCTCACGCAGCTGCAGTAACACAGCCCCTCCCTTCAGGCTCAGGAGCTGTGCAGGCTGCCCACTGTGTGGGTAACCCCTGGTGCCCCCAACCACTTCTTGGCTTCCCTGACCCTGTCTGCCCCTCGGCACCAGTCCCTTGATAAATTATCTTCATTCAACCCTTTACAGCACGTCCTCTGTTTCCGGNGCATCTGCAAAAGGCACCTCATACGTTTGGCAGTGGCTGTCCTGGTGACTCTCCATGTTCAACCCACACTCCATCCAAATGCCCTCCATGGCCTCCTGCCCTGTGCTGGGCTCCAGAAGCCTGGTGTCTACGGAGGGCGTTACCAGGCTTTCCACTGGGTTTGCCATTCAGAGGCATCAGCAACAGACTGAAGGGTGGCCAAGAGAGTGCAGAGATTCTGGGCTTCACCCTCTTATCTCCCAAGCTCTGGCCTTGACCGAGCCCTCCCTTTGGGCAGCCTCTCCCCTTGGCTCTCTTGCAGCTACAGCAACACAGCCCCTCCCTTCAGGCTCAGGAGCTGTGCAGGCTGCCCACTGTGTGGGCAACCCTGGGGGCCCCAACCACTTCTTGGCTTCCCTGACCCTGTCTGCCCCTCTGCACCAGTCCCTTGATAAATTATCTTCATTCAACCCTTTACAGCACGTCCTCTGTTTCCGGCTAGGAAGCTGTCTGATTCAAGTGGCTTTCATGCATCATAAATCATGTATGAATAACTGGGGCATCTTATATTGCCAGATTTAAAACTTCTTAAAGAAAAGGGGTGTGCATTTTCAATTCATCTCATTTCCCATAGACCAAGGGATTTTTTTTAAGCGTTATAGGTATTTCTGAAATATCTATTGAATGAATTAACAAATGAACAACAATTAAACTACAGCTAAACTACAGTAGATTTTCACCAGCAAGATGACAGAAAAATGAAAATTTACTCTCATACGCTCCATTGCAGTGCTATCTAGCTGGGTGTGCTAAATATGGTCTCTTGACAATATTTTTTAAAAATAGTCTCTTTCTCGAT